GAGAAGGCCCGGTTTCTTGTCTTTTCCTTCCGGGCCTCCTTCGGCGTTAGGCTCCTCAGCCTCACCTCCTGGCTCGCACAAGTGACACGGGTAGATCTTGGTGGGAGTAGGCGTTCCGCCAAGTATCGAGGCCCTAAACCGTTTAGGGCTTTATACATAAGTAAGTTACTTACTTTATGTAAGTACGATGAATGCAGAGTAAGAACCAAAAGTGCCACAACCTTTGATTGTTCTGATGTATAACCTGTATTCTGGACAAAAGGCCACCATTAGAAGAAAATGTGAAGAAATTGTTTCCTACAGGTGTCACACAGCCAAAGGTATATTTTATTTCTCTATCTGTTTCATTTGTATGTAGAACAAATGATATGAAAAAACGGGATTAGATCCAGATGAGCGGGCCTCCTTCGGCGTTAGGCTCCTCAGCCTCACCTCCTGGCTCGCACAAGTGACACGGGTAGATCTTGGTGGGAGTAGGCGTTCCGCCAAGTATCGAGGCCCTAAACCGTTTAGGGCTTTATACGTAAGTAAGTTACTTACTTTATGTAAGTGCCACAACCTTTGATTGTTCTGATGTATAACCTGTATTCTGGACAAAAGGCCACCATTAGAAGAAAATGTGAAGAAATTGTTTCCTACAGGTGTCACACAGCCAAAGGTATATTTTATTTATCTGTTTCATTTGTATGGAGAACAAATGATATGGAAAACTGGATTAGATCCAGATGATAGAAGAGCAGTGATTGCTGGAAGAAACATCCATAACTTCAAATATGCAGATAACGCCATACGTTTCAACTTGAAATGATGAAGGTGAAAGTGCAAAAGTAAGATTGCAGTTAGACATTATGAAGATTAAAAAGTCAGGACTGCAGTAGTATTACTTAACAGTTGACGAAACGGATATTGTTGACATTTTCGAGAGCTCAGTTCAAGCTGAACCCTATGCAAGCATTAATCTGTTCCAATTGCAACGGATTAACCGGTTTTCAATGCATTCCTATGGGAAATGGTGTTTCACTTAACGATGTTTTCACATAACGATTTTTTTATGGAACCAATTAACATCATTAAGCGAGGCACCACTGACATTTTCGAGAGCTCAGTTCAATTGTCAATTAAAAGGGAGGCTGGAGCCAAGAAATCAGAGGAAGGCAGAGACTTGAAAGGACAGTTGCATGGAAAAGGAAAACATCCTCAAGTGTATGGACATGTCACTTGAGGACAAAGCCAAGATCATCCATGCATATGGTACTCCGGATTACTCTGTATGGGATTGAAAGCAGGGCAATGAAGAAAGACGGCAGGAAGAAAACCTATTTGTTCAAACTGTGGTGTTGGGGGAGAGGTAAGAGGCGCCTTCCGAAAGACAAATGAATGGGTTCGAGATTAAATCAAGACTGAATTTCCCCGAATAGTAACAATGACAGAACCGAGGCTATTCTACTTGGTGCACATAATGACAAGACTCACTAAGCCAATAATGTTAACAGCCGCTGAGGACAGAAGGAAGAGAGGAAGATCAGACATTATATAGATAGACTCAGTAAGGGAAGCCATAGACTTCGTTTGCAATGACCTGACGAGCTCTGTTAATCACAGGACTTTCTGGAGGTCAGTAATTCACAGGGCAATCTAAGTCAGAGGTGGCTATGTGGCCATTAACTACAACTACAGCAAGCAAAAGAGATCGGCTTCTCTGTTTATCACAATTTGATCTGCAGTTCCTCCAAGGAGTTTGTGATAGCACGCAGGATTCTTCCTCTCTTACCCTCAAAATAACCCCATGAGGTATATTAGGCAAGAAAACACAGTAAGGTGGGAGAAGGCAGTCACCAAGCCAGTATCACCCACTAAACATCATGAGATTTGGGCCTAGCCCAACACATGAACTATATACCACATGGACTATCAAGCTTGCTCACATCAGCTAAGGTTGTCTGCTTTTAAATCGTATCACAGGGATGAATAAAAAAATAATGAGTGTGCTGCCTGAAAGCTATCGGCTTATTTTTCCAACATCACAGGGAGTATCAAGACGTTACTTTTCAAACACTGAGACAAGTAATCGGAACAAAAGATTTTTTAGAAATGATTTATCCAAAGGTTTCACCCAAAGGTATTTTCAGATCAAATTAGGCTGCTTATTGGGGACTTCTATTTTTTCCTAGCTAGGTAAACTCAACAGTGATGCCCATCGCTTGCCTTGAGGCCTACAAAACCAATTGCCACCCAAATGCCAACACCTATAGAAGCTGGCTGGAGTAGCAGTTCAATCTTATTCAATGCCGATGGTGGAACCCTATTCTTCACCTCAAGGGAGGCCTGCAAGCTAATTCGGTTCTGGGTTAACACACAGCTCTGTCCTCCTCACCTCAAGGGAGGCCTGCAAGCTAATTCATTTCTGGTTTAACACACAGCTCTGGCCTCCAGGGCACTGGTCCCCAACCTTGGGCTTCCAGATGTTCTTGGACTACAACTCCCAGAAGCCTTCGCCACCACCTCTGCTGGCCAGGATTTCTGGGAGCTGAAGTCCAAGAACATCTGGAGGCCCAAGGTTGGGGACCACTGCTCCAGGAGGAAGGAAGTGGTCTCAGGGCTGTCACTACTTCCTCCTCCATACCACTAATTATCTGCTGCCTGAGACCACTTTACCTAACGCTAGCCCTATACAAAACTTGGATGCGTCTCCTAATGCTACTTGTTGTCCACTCCTTATGCACTTTCATTGCTACTAAAGTCTGATCTGCCTCCTCCTGCCTCCAAACCTGGGAGTCAAGATTTCTAATGTGCCCCCCTCCTCATCATGTCAGAAAGGACCAGAAAGCTTTCTCATGGGCAACTCCCTCTCCAAGAGAGCAACCTCTCTCTCTTTCTGATCTCACTTACGTATCCGACTCAAGTTCTTCATGGACTGGGATGCGCTCTGTCCGCCCTCAGCCTGCTCAGCTCGAGCGCTTTCTCCTGCTTTCTCCGCTTCGGCGCGATCCTCTTCTTCTTCAGCTCGGAGGAGGGCAATTCTTAGCCCGGCCACTAGGCGGGGGAAACTTAAATACCCCCCGCACGGTTCTGCCACTTGCTGGAGGGCCTGGAGAACGCCGGAAGGAAGCTGGGCTCTTTCTTGGTCTCCTTGGGGTCTCACTCCAGAGCCACCACGACCCCAACGGCTCTCGATTTCGGAGACGTGGATGGTCCCGCTCCTCTGGTCATCCAGGATTTCAAAGAGAGTCCGGAGACTGTGGAGGAAAGGACGGGGCAGGCGGGTGCCTAAGCTGGGAGCAGGATTTTCGGGGTTGGGGGGAAGGGGTGGGGCCGTCAGCCCCTCAGAATTCATTTGAAATCAGGTTTAGGATATTGGGGAAGAGAAAGCTCCTCGAGAGGTCTGGGGCTTTACAACAGAGGCCTTTGGGAACCGGGTCACCTAGTCTGTCAGAGAGGAGGATTAGGAGAGAGTAGAGGAGAAAGCTGGAAAGCAGCTGCGAAAACAAGTAGAATGAAACTGTGCCAGTGAAAGCCAGAGAGAGGGGTAAAAGGGGAATTCTACAGGGGTAGCAGGACGCCTGGGTTCTCTCTCTCTGGGAGGGGACTGAGCTCCTGCTGGCCGAAAACAGAAGGTCTAGAGGTTAGTTGGAAGCGGAGCACCAGCGTCCTTTTCTGTCTCCCTGCAATGAGCGGTCAGGGTGGCTCTGAGGCTTTTCTCCCTCTAGTTTGTCAGAGTCGAAATATCTGATTGAGTCAGATTGGCCAAGCTGGTCCAGGCAAGGGGGAGGCAGCTGGGACTGGAGTCATGTGACCCATGGCAGATAATCGCCTTGGACGCCAGATGATTAGCGGCTCTGTCTAACGAGGTAGCTTCCCCTCTGGGGGTGGGGGAGAAAGAGAGAGTCAGAGAGAGAGAGAGAGAGAGATTTCTCTCTGGTGGGCAGCTGAACCCAAACTCCAAGATCATTAAGGCCTTCTTTCTTTCTTTCTTTCTTTCTTTCTTTCTTTCTTTCTTTCTTTCTTTCTTTCTTTCTTTCTTTCTTTCTTTCTTTCTTTCTTTCTTTCTTTCTTTCTTTCTTTCTTTCTCCTTATAGGTCTTACATTTGCATCCCACTCATGTGCCACACCACATACAACGAGTTAGAGAAGGGAGTTAATGAATCTGGCTGTCACTCAGATTTATGGAACTGCTTGGATAATATCCTGTATGTCCCTACCCATTTTCTACATTAAAGATACATCAGTTTATGGCCATGGCTGACTTGCATATTGTCATTAATAGCATTGCTTGAGTCTGCTGGCCACCTCTGGCAAACAGAAGGGACAGCCCTAAAAATAGGAAAAAGGCTAAAATAATACATACCTTTAAATATTCACTGCACTAGAAACTTTCGTTGATTGGGATGGTATATAAAGGCAAGCAGGGTTGCCTAAAGAGAGATCTAATATTGATGACGGTGGTGATGATGATGATTTGCCATGAAGTTGATTGTGACTTATGGCGACCATTTTCAAGGTTCTCTAAGTAGACACTATTCAGAATTGGCTTACCATTCCTTTCTTCAATCAATCATCATCATCATCTTAGAACTGCAGAACTGAAAAGGACCATATGGATCAATTGAGTCCATCAATGTCAAGGAGGTATACTTGGGAGTCAAACTCCCAAACTCTGGTTCTGCAGCCAGATATATAACCCACTAAGCCCTAGGTTCCCAACCTTTGTTACTCGGATGTTTTTGAAGCGTTCCGCCAAGTATCGAGGCCCTAAACCGTTTAGGGCTTTACACGTAAGCATCAACACTTTGAAGTCGATGCGGAAACGGATGGGCAGCCAGTGCAGTGTGGCCAGAATAGGGGAGATGTGTTTGAATTTTTTCACTCCACTAAGTAATCTGGCTGCCACGTTCTGCAGCGCAGTAGCGTCAAAGGTAGCCCCACGTAGAGCGCATTACAGTAGTATAATCTTGAGATTATATGGAACTGCTTGGTTAATATCCTGTACGTCTCTACCCATTTTATACATTAAAGATACGTCAGTTTATGGCCATGGCTGACTTGCATATTGCCATTAATAGCATTGCTTGAGTCTGCTGGCCACCTCTGGCGAACAGAAGGGACTACCATAAAAATAAGATAAAGGCTAGAGTAATATATGCCTTTGAATATTCACTGCACTAGAAACTTTAGTTGATTGGGATGGTATATAAAGGCAAGCAAGGTTGTCTAAAGAGAGATCTAATATTGATGATGATGGTGGTGATGATGATGATTTGCCATGAAGTTGATTGTGACTTATGGCGACCATTTTCAAGGTTCTCTAAGTAGACACTATTCAGAATTGGCTTACCATTCCTTTCTTCAATCAATCATCATCATCATCTTAGAACTGCAGAACTGAAAAGGACCCTATGGATCAATTGAGTCCATCAATGTCAAGGAGGTATACTTGGGAATCAAACTCCCAAACTATGGCTCTGCAGCCAGATATATAACCCACTAAGCTATCCAGCAGTTCCTGTGATGATTTAAGGACTTCTTACAAATCAGAATATCAGACCAAGATCTGATTTCATTAGCTTATTTATTTAAAAGAAACAAAAAGTATTACAGAGGGCAGAATCCTCTCAGGAAACATGGAGCACAACATCTTCATGGGAAGAGCTCTCTGCAAAACCTTCAGCTTTCAGTTATTCCAACTGGATCAAGTCCCATTGAGAGCCATGGAGCAAACAGCAGGATTGACCATGGAGATTGGAGTAGGCTTGGGTGTTGGTACTGCAAGGGGAGGAGAGAGACATTTCTCAGGATAACATGATCTGTTCTAACTCCACATCTCTATAATGGAATCCCCAAATGACATTGTTGGCTCTTCTGGTTGGCGGAAACCCATCAATCAAAGTCTGGTACAGATATCATGGCAGTGATTTAAGAAAAAGAAAATCTTTTCCTGAAGCCAGATGGTCAATGAGAGGATGAGAGAAGGGGGTGGGAGGGATACAATGGGGTGGGAGGCCTGCGTCTTCTCACCAGGGATCATCCAGCCTGAACGAGGCTGAAGTTTCCTTTTTTTCTTATGCCCTTGAGATGTTAATGCTCCCGATCACCTCAGCTTCCCACCAGAAAGATGGGGCACGGGGAAAACATCTGTCGTGCTAACCAGATGTCAAACACACTTCTGCAGGAACAGATTTGTGAGTGTAATAACAACATGCTGGAATAGGCAGCTAGGGAAAGCAGTGGATAATCACAATATGGCCAGAAAAAAATATAGGGGAAAGAGGGAGAGAAAGAAAGACCAAGAGAAAGAAACTAGGTTGCCAGCCATCATCATTGTCCTCAGCCACAGCATCATTGCAATCAATGTTGTATTGATTATAATGCAAGATAACCAAGCAGGTTATGCTCTGTTGTCTATTTCTAGGTTAATTTTGCTGTTTCTGGCTTCAAAAATCCAGAAAGACCTGGATCCTACATACTTTAAATCTAATGGACATGCTGCCTGGGGGATTATGGGAGCTGTAGTCCAAAAAGAGAGTAATGTTTTCAAACTTTGCCTTGTTTATATGTGAAGTCTGTATGGACACCAAACTCATGCAAGTGTAACCAGAGTAGAGATGGGCACGAATTTCAGTTCAAAGGTTTAGAAAGTTTGTCAGTGCAACATCAGAGGTCCTGCGTGTTCTCTTCACTCACCCCGCCCCGGGGGCTGGCTACCCCACTCACCAGCTGACACATGCTGTTTTTCTCCTGTTCTTTGCACAATTGTCCAGCCATGGCAGGAGCATGGACTTCACTTCTCTGCCTCCTCCAGCAGTTGCCCACTCAGACGAGGAGGTGGAGCAGGGATTCCTGCTGCAATGTCTTTGGGTGGGCAGCTGCTGGAGGAGGTGCAGAAGGGAAGTCCATGTTCCTGCTGTGACATGACAATTGCACAAAGAGCAGGATAAAAGCAGTGGGCACTGGCTGGTGAGTGGGGGAGCCAGCCGAGGGGATGCGGGAGAAGGGAAGACGCGGCACCTGTGCTGTTATGCTGACAAACCAGCACAAACCTCTGACCTGTGGTTCGTACCAATCTCTAAACCATAATTTGAAAAATTAAGTCTTGGAGTCTATACCCAGGTATTAATTCCCGCAATCTATTTTGGAATCTATTCTGGAGTTTAGGGCCTACCATCATTCTTCTCCCCTCCCCACCAGTTGTTGGTTTGGTACAAGTGACATAGCATTGCATTGCACAGGGTTCACATACTAAACACATATATAAGACTCCCTCCAACATACTCTGTTATCTCCTCCCATGCAATTTGAATTCTGTTTTCAAGAATATTAATTGTTGTGGGTTAAATTATTTCAGAAGATGGCTTGGGGAGCATTTTGTTTTGTTTTACCTCTCTACTGTTTTAGTAGATTATGGCTGCTTTAATGAATTTATCCTTGTCATTCACATACTAAACACATATATAAGACTCCCTCCAACATACTCTGTTATCTCCTCCCATGCAATTTGAATTCTGTTTTCAAGAATATTAATTGTTGTGGGTTAAATTATTTCAGAAGATGGCTTGGGGAGCATTTTGTTTTGTTTTACCTCTCTACTGTTTTAGTAGATTATGGCTGCTTTAATGAATTTATCCTTGTCAAACTGTTTTAGGAATTTGTTAAATCACTGCCAGCTTTCACTGGAAAGATGTGGTGGCCAAGCAAACAGATGCTACATAGATTTCTCTTGGGAGTTTCTTCTACTGCCTTAATTTCCTTAAGATAATCACATCAGGATATGGAGCAAAGTGAATACGTGAGGCAGGGTGGAGACAGCATCATTCAGAGTCAGCCTGTTTGTAATACCTTTCCTTGAAGTAGATTCTGTAACTTTTAACAGCTTCATGTCTGACAGAAAATCAAGAGAACAAAGCTTATCCTGGTATAAAGCAAAGCTTCTTAAATATTTGTGGTAGACAGACAGCTGTTAAAGGCCTATGAGGTGGGGAAGTAAGAACTGCAGAAATGGGAAGGTAAATTTTCTTTTAAAGTCACATTAGAAGAGGATTATAGATGTGCTTCCTTCCTCCAGCTTTATGGAAGCTCAGTCACAACACATTCAGAGAGGGAAAGATCTCTTTGGACAACATCTGAAGACGAGGACGAGGCACAGCGATTTCCTAAATAAAAAAGTAAGGACACCTAAGAACCATGTAAACTGCATACTGACATACAGTATGTCCATGTAACAAATCAACTGACCAAATGCATAAAAAGCAAATTCTAGAAGATCTAGAGGGGTTTGAAGAGGGAATACAGATATCCTTTAAATAGGACTAAGAATCTAAGAGATGTATTGGTTAGAAGTGAGTACAGATACTACACCCTCACTAATTCTCAGTAGTTTACCTGCTTCCCCCCTCCCCAGGACATCATCCACGTGGGCATCATGTTTATTGCAGTAATGCAAGGCACATGTCAGACTGTATAGATTCTCAGAACAAAAAGGTTTACACCCTGAAGGATTTCACTAACTGTAATACCAACGGAATAATCTATGCCCATAAGATGCCCATGTAATAAACTGTACACAGGAAAAACTTCTAGACCTCTTAAAGTACGAATGGCTGAACACCTCAGTAATTTAAGAAATAAATGACTAGGCAGCCCTCTAGTTGGCCATTTTACAGAAATGAACCATACAATAAAAGATCTGGTGTTCTGGGCTGTGGACAGAGTTCCTGTGAAAGGTCTTTACTAAAA